CACAAAGGTTTGTTTAGTAGCTAATTGCATGTAAACATTATTGATTTTGCACCAAAGCCAATTTATCAAACTTTTTGGATGAGTCACTTGAAGAATGACATGTTATAATTTTTTGGTTTGCTAACAAAATGAAGGGACAAAATATTAGACCGGATAAATGAATTTTCCTCATCAATTCTTGTAAAGATACCACTGCAAAAAGTGGTGTATTTGGAGTGCGGTCTCTGCATGTTTTTCTTCTTCATTATCGTCATTGGTCATGCAATTATTTGCCATACTTTTTGCAACAAAAAAAAATTCTCAAGATGAACCTTCCTCTAAAGGTATGCAGTCTAATATGCTTTGTCAAACTAGTGGTTTTTCTTAGAAGCACATGAAGGCATGTTATTTTGTCCAGATTAAGTTGAGAATTCACCTCTTAATTTATATTACTCTATTTTTATTATTGCAGAGCTCAAAAAAAAAAAAAAAAAAACATCACATTGTCTTGAGATTGCTAACTTACTTGTTGTTGCTGGACATTCAACATTAGAGAACTTAATAAATTAAAATAATAATAAAATATACCATATTCCAGTTTATGGTTGATGCGTTGTAATTTAATCGCAAGTCAATTCTTTTGCAACTCATACTTCTACATGGTACAATTGCACGTGCACGTGCACAAGAGTCAGCCCACACAAATTCACGTCTGTGTGTGTGTAACATTGGTCACTATAAACTGTATTTCTTCTTCTGCTCGTGCTTCTAGGTTAGTCAATGAACTAAAAATTTAATGGTAAAAGTTGTGTACGTGTTTCTGGCGTATGATTTCGTAGTTCTCTTGTCGAAGCACAATCAATGACCTTTAGAATGTTTAGGTATAATGTAAATAATTAACTCTGTTTTTTTCATTGTGAATCAAATTTGTCCTATGGAGCATAAAAAAGTCTCTTTGAATATTTTACCATCATACAAAATGATATGAAAATAATGTACAAATGGAAGAACTTTTCCCTTCAATGTGTTCATGTATTGAAGTAGTATTTGTGTTCATTTGAATTGTAACCTGAACCCAAAAAACTTGCATATGCACTATTCTTACTTCGCAGAAATATTGGACAAAGCGTGACAAATTGCTTCCTGCTTTTGCCTTCAGTAACTTTGCAATCGCATGGGTATCATTGTAATAGCTAGGGTCTTCTTTTTGGCCTTTTCATCTTGGTTCAACTTTCTATTTAGCTCAAGTCCCTTTTGTAGTGTAAGCCCTTTTATCTATTAAGTCTTGCCGCGTTAGTCCCTCATCTTCCAAATTATGCACCATTTGAGTCCTTTTCATCCTTTTTTTGTTCATCTTCTCAAAAAATCATTCATGATTGAGTTTCTCCTAAAATAAGCGATATGCACACAAGTATCACATCACAAATTTAATCCCAAACACCAGGATTTGACTTCCTAAATAAGGGTAAATATTACGCTTGCAAAAACCCATGCACGTATGAAGTTTATCCCTCAATTTGTTTCCTTTTAGTTGCATTTCGTATATTTCGATAAAATAAAGGATTTGGTTTTGTTGGTTATTTCAGGATCACAACCTCACGTTTTCTGTCCATGTGTTTTATTTATTTAATATACTTAGTCAAGTTATGTTTCCTAGTTTGTTGGAAATGGTTAATTTGTTATGTCCAGCAGTGCGTCATGGCTTGATTTCAGGCCACTTTGTTAGTTTTTAAGTTTTTTATATTATGTAAACCTGACGCATATGAATGAATTGAATTTCTAGTTTCTATTCCCATATATATTCCCCAGTTTTCTTACTTTTTGTTTAAGGACATCTCATTTATCAAATTTTTCTTTTGTCTTTAAACTCACAATTGGTATCAGAGTCTTAATCTTGAGAGACCCGTGAGTTCTTTTGAGGGTTCAAATGGAAGGTGAATCTAGTTTTTCATCAATGGCTCCGCCAGTTTTCGTTGGAGACAACTATCAAATTTGGGCGGTGGAGACATACCTGGATGCGTTGGATATATGGGAGGTTGTTGAAGAAGATTATGAAGTTCAGCCTCTCCTAGCAAATCTTGTATGGCACAAATCAAGACATAAAAAATGGAGAAAAGGATAAGGAAATCGAGGGTGAAAGCTTGTTTATTTGCGGTGGTTTCACTAAGGATTTTTACCAGAATTGTGTCTCTCAAAACAGCTAAGGCCATTTAAGACTATCTCAAGGAAGAATATGAAGGAGATGAAAGAACTAAAGGGATGCAAGTCCTGAACTTGACCAAAGAATTTGAACTTCAAAGACTAAAGGACTCCAAGACAATTAAAAATTACTCAGACAGGCTTCTTAGCATCGCAAACAAAGTGAGGCTTCTTAGATCTATGTTTACTGACTTAAGATTGTAAATAAATAAGTATAAATAAAAATAAAATCTTGTTACGGTACTTAAAAGATATGAAGAAACCATCACTACCTTGGAGAATACTAAAGATCTATCAAAAAATTCCTTAGTAGAATTGCTTAACGCATTGCAAGCATAAGAGCAAAGAAGACTAATGAGGGAGGATACAACAATCGAAGGAGCTTTGGTAGCCAAGCATCAAAACGTGGCCAACAACAAAAAGAAAAAGAAGAAGGAATTTGAAGGAAATGGAGCAAGTACAACACCGGCCAATGCAAAAGGTAAGAATGGAAATAAGAGGAAAATCCTATCCACATTGCTAACACTGTGAAAAGAAAGGTCATCGTCTGTTTAGATGTTGGAGTAGACCAGATGCTAAGTGTTTCAAATGCTATCAACTTGGACTTGAAGCAGTAATTTGCAAAGGAAAAACTCAGCAATAGGAAGTTAAAGCCCAATTGCTGATCAAGAGGATGAAGATTAGCTGTTTGTGGTGTCTTGCTTTATAGGTAGTAGTTCGATTGAAAGTTGGCTAGTTGATAGCGGTTGTACCAACCACATGACCAATGACAAGGAACTCTTTAGAGATTTGAGGCCAATTGACATTACTAAAGTCAGAATTGAAAATTGTGATTATATCTCTGTCAAAGGGAAAGGGACAATCTCCATTACCATCATTGCAGGCACAAAGAGAATTCCAATATTCTCCACGTACTAGATATTGACCAAAATTTGTTGAGTGTAGGTCAATTGATTGAAAAGGGCTTTAAAGTGATCTTTGAAGATGGTTTCTGTCACATTCTTGATGCCACGGGTTCGGAAATTCTCAAAGTGAGAATGAAGGGCAAAAATTTTTCTTTTGATCCCGTCAAAGAAGAACTTGCTACATTTTCCATTGAAGCCAGCAACACCGAGATATGGTACAAAAGACTTGATCACTGTCACTTGCAAAAGATGCAGCTCATGAAGAAAAAGGAGTTTATAGTTGGCTTACCAACCTTTGGAGATCACTTAATAAATTGTGATGCTTGTCAATATGGTAAACAAAAATGGAGACCATTCTCAAAGTCAACCTAGAGAGCTACTCACAAGTTACAGCTAATCCACAGAGATATATCCAATCCTCAAAAGAATTCTATCATTCGCAGGTAGTTGCTATTACATTGCTTTCATTGATGATTTTATTGGAATGTGCTTTTTCTTCAAATTCAAGTCAGAAGTGGCTGGAGCGTTTTGAGAGTTCAAGAAAATGGTGGAAAACCAAAGTGGCTTCAAAATTCAAGCTCTAAGGTAGATAATGGAAAAGAATACATCTCAAAAGAATTTAATTTATTTTGCGAGGAAACAGGCATAGAACACCAGCTTACTGCTCCCTACACTCCACAACAAAATGGAGTTAGTGAAAGGAGATATAGACACATAATGGAGGTAACCAGATTTATGCTTCATGACAAGGAGTTGTCGAGGAAGTTTTGGCTGAGGTGGCAAATATTGCAGTTTTCTTGCGAAACAAATTGCCTACCAAGGCATTAAAGGATAAAACTTCATTCGAGGTATGGTATGGCTATAAACCTTCAATCAATTTGTTTGGAGTGTTCGATTGTGTGTGTTTCTCTCACGTTCCACAAGTCAAGCGTGATAAACTGGACAAGAAGTCAAAACTAGGCATCTTCCTAGATTACAGCTCTTCCTCTAAGGCCTAGAAGATATATCAACCTCAAACGGGAAAGATAATTGTAAGTAGAGATGTGTTCTTAATTGTAAGTAAAGATGTGTTCTTCACTGAAGATGAGAAATGGAACTAGGAACAGAAACAAGAGACATCCACAAGCAAGCAGAAATCAAATCTCCCATTCCAAACAACAGAAGTGCAAGCCCTTGAACAGTGGCAAGAAGATTTGGAAGATAAACCACCAATTCGTGGAACAAGACTACTCCATGATATCTATCAAAGATGCAATGTGGCCATTTGTGAGCTTGCGGGTTATGAAGCCATTAAAGAACATAAAAGGAAGAAGGAAATGGAAGAGGAGTTGTCCATGATAAAAAGGAACAAGAGGTGGAGGCTAGTTAATAGACCGAAGGATAGAAAAGTCATTGGAGTGAAATGGGTGTTTAGAACCAAGCTCAATGCTGATGGATCCATCAACAAACATAAAGCCAGGGTTGTTGTCAAGGGGTATGCTCAAGTTTTTGGAGTTGATTACTTGGATACATTTGCCCCTGTTGCTAGATTAGACACTATTCGGCTAGTACTAGCTGTAGCAGCCCAAAATGGGTAGAAAGTGTTTCAATTAGATGTAAAATCAGCATTTCTAAATCTTTTATTGAAGGAGGAGGTCTTTGATGAGCAACCAGAAGGATTCATTGAAGAAGGCCATGAAGACAAAGTGTACCTACTTAAAAAAGCTCTTTATGGCTTAAAACAAGTGCTTAGAGCCTAGTATAGTAGGATAGATGATCATTTATTGAGCTTGGGATTTACAAAAAGCCTATCAGAAGACACTCTCTATGTTAATAAAAAAAAAAGTGAATGACTTTCTTATTGTGTCATTGTACATGGATGACTTGTTGGTGACAGGTAGCTATGCCAAACTTGTTGATGAAATCAAGTAAGAGATGATGCCGATTTTTTATATGATAGATCTTGGCCTGATGACATATTTCCTTGGTATGGAAATCAAACGAGATGAAGGAAAAGTTTTCATTTATCAAAGAAAGTATGCTAAGGAAATACTTATAAAGTTTCATATGGAGGAATGCAAAGCAACAGCTACACTAATGAGTCAAAAGGAAAGCTTAAGTAAAGAGGATGGCACAGATAAAGTCAAAGAAGGCTATTTCAGAAGCATGGTTGGATGTCTAATGTACCTAATTGCCACCAGGCTAGATATCCTTTTTGCTATAAGCATTCTCTCTCGTTTTATCCATTGTGCTAGTGAAATGCATTTTAAAAAAGCAAAAAAGAGTTATTAGGTACATCAAACGGACTGTTAACTTTGGTGTAAAATTTAAGATGTGTGAATACTTCAAGTTGATGGGATTTTCTAACAGTGAGTGGGTTGGATCCGTAGATGATATGAAGAGTACATTTGGATACTGCTTTAGTCTAGGTTCAGGTGTGCTATCTTGGTGTTCCAAGAAACAAGAGATTGTAGTGCAGCCTACTGCAGAGGCTTAATTTGTTCCTGCTACAGAAACAGTGAATCAAGCATTGTGGCTGAGAAAGTTAACGATGCAGAGGTATTTGTGGACAATCAGGCTGTAATTGTAAAATCTCACAATCTTGTATTTCATGGAAAAACTAAACATTTTAAGATTAAGCTATTCTTTTTAAGAGAAGTGCAGAATGAATGAGATGTGAGCTTGGTTTATTACAGATTTGAAGATTAGCTTGCAGACATTTTCACAAAACCTCTACCAGCAAATAAATTTGAGCTTCTGAGGCAGAGGCTTGGAGTTTGCAGCTCCTATGCAAGGAGGAGTGTTGGTTATTTGCATCCGGATCACAACCTCACGTTTTATGTCCATGTGTTTTATTTATTTAATATATTTAGTCAAGTTATGGTTCCTACTTTGTAGGAAATTGTTAATTTCAGAGGTGGATTTGGGGGGGTTGGGCTGGGCTTTTTTTAAGGTATTTTTTTATTTTTTTTGGTAAAAAATCAGTTTTTTACGTGTAAAATTTTTTTTTGGGCATAATAGCCTGATTTGAAATTTTGTAGCCTAGTCTTGGATCCAATCCTTGAATCCGCCCCTAGTTAATTTGTTATGTCCAACAGTGTGTCATGGCTTGATTTCAAGCCACTTTGTTAGTTTCTCAGTTTTTTATATTATGGAGACCTAATGCATTATAAATGAATTGAATTTCCAGTTTGAATCCCCATATATCTTCCTCGGTTTTCTTACTTTTTGTTCAAGGATCATTTATCAAATTGTTCTTTCATCTTTAAACTCACAGGTTTATTGTTTCTCTTGCCGAATCTTTCATGCTCAAGTGATTCAATCAACACTTGACGTCCGAGTTTGTTCCTAGTAGTGATTTTCCTTTTCAATTTATCGGTGTTTGCATTTATGTCAAAACATGATATAATCGATCTTGGATAGATTACATTGTTATGTTGACTTGGAGAAAACTTCATTTATATTCCTCCTGTTTGAGTCCCATTTTTTGGAGATACATGTAAATTATTTTATTGGGAGAATGTGTGGTTCAAAATGAGTTTAGAAAAAAAAAGGATCAAATAAGAGCTTAATTTGCTAAGCGTAGTTGAATCATTGCTCGTGGTGTTCACGAGTTGTTGACGAGATCAATCTTATATAGATAGTTACAAGCACGTTTGGTTTAACTTGTAAGTATCTTAGTTTGACAACATAAGCTAGACTAATTTGTTGTACAATCCACGTCACAAAGGACATGTTGGGGTTTCTTTAGGCACATTCGCATTATGGCACCAAGTTGAGAAACGTTAAAATTTTCAAAATCCAAAGAAACATTAAATCAAGATCAATCAAGAAAATTAATCTTTTTCAAACCCTTACAAAATTTCTTCTTTTACAATTTATCTTGTCTAATTGAATTTGAAGTCATGCATGGGTAAAATTTATGGGCACACCTTATTTCCATATGTTTATAAATGTTATTAATTTTTTTTTTTTTTTATCAATTTCTAACTTATACTCCCATCATGCTATTTATGTGTATAATTTTGTTATATTCATTTTGTTTCACCTTTTGCCCACAACTAAAAGTTGGAATATTTGATTGTAACCTCTTTTACTATTTGATGGGGTTTAGCTATCTAATAGTTTTGATCACGTGAGAAATTTTTCATTGAAGATTATTAAACTTACAAGTTTGCATGTTAATACAACTTCAATTTGATTCTAAATTCATATTCGGTTTCAATTTGATCATTACGTTTTTCATCAGAGAACGGATTGAATTCATAATCTACATAACTTCTCCCAAAAATATAAATCCCCACAAATCTTTCATTGGTTTTCATTATTTTTAAAATACATTTTTAATCACACACTATTTAATAAAATAATATTGCACGCAAATTTAAAACTCTTCTTTATTTATTAATCACATTCTCCATCAAAATACTATATCAGAACATATTTTGGACAAAATGGGACTTAAACATGTTCTTAGTGTTTCATTGTCCGAATTACATTTTTTTGTCAATTTTGTAGCAACTAAAGACAAAGTAGTCAAATTAATTATAAATATAAATTTCGTTATCGAAAATAAACAAAAATACTAATCGGATGATTAAATTGAAATTAATCAATCGAATCCACTAAACCACTAAAGATAAAATTGACCTTTCTATGTACAAATGTAATCTAATTCCTTGAATTTCTTCATTTCACATGTTCACAAAGTTAACCCTCACCTCTCAGACATAACGATGCACTTATCGATGGCACACTCTACTACTGAGTCAAAAGCCCCATCGTGTGAGCGACTCACTATGTCAAAAACAAGAAAAATCACTTCCCCCTCTTTCATTTTTTTGACCCATGTCACCACACTTGTATATTTGATAACATCAATAGAATTCTCGTGTCTTGACTTTGGGGAATTTTTCACAAAATTTCTCATAGTTGTTAATGAATTAGCAGAAAGAATCACCAATTTTAATTAAAACGTCATGATAGCTAAAGCATTGAGGTCATAAATTTGCCACGTGGCATACCTATAAATTAATTTAAACCAACTGTTACTGGCTTGGTCGGCTTGCCCATTAATTCGTCTGGCCCGCCAAGCCGGTCATTATCTAGGTGGGTTCGACTTATTGTTGGGAAATATTAGTAAAATATTGTAGACATTTACAACTCGCGTTCACTGGCCAACAAGATGCCACCTGGCACCTTACAGCTGGCTTCAATAAATGTCTTTGGTCAATGGAAGTCAGTCCACGTCGAGTTTTGACGCCTTTTGATAGGTTTGACATTTTTACTCGGCCGGCTTTTACGATTTTGTTTTTCTCTATAATTTATTATTATTGTCTATTCTTTAGGAATAAAACTTCGTGTACAAGGAGTGTATTGACAGAGTCAATAAGTCTTAGCCAGGAGACACGTATCGTCTTGTATGGATACTGTCACTCGTATCAAGTACATGTAGCAATTGTTTTTTTTTTAATTATGACTTCGTGTACATTGAGTGTCTTAGCCAATTACAGGAGACACGTATCGCCTTGTATTAATCCTGTCACCCGTATCAAGTACGTGTAGCTATTTTTATTCTTTATTATAACCAACGTTTTAAAACTTGGCCCCAAGCATTGACCTGAAAAGAGAAAGGATTACGAGTCAAAAAATTCAATTGAGATCAAATTGAAGGTAATAAATAAATATTTATAAACTTTTTAATTTTATTTTCACAACAAAATATAATTAATTTTTCATACCATCAACTCAAAATAAATACAAATATGTCAATTGTATGTTTTTTAATACTAACTTAATTAGTTTTTAATCTGTTGGATCACTTAAAAACTCATTCCAATTTTACTATAATTTGTAAGATTAAAAAATGTTTAGCAATATATAGAAATTGAGTAATTTAATTTTATAGTCATGCACATTGTCGCCATAAATAATATTAAACAAGTGTGCTTTACTGAAGTTTGTCAATCCCACATTGAAGGGTTATCAATTATGGCACTTAAAAATTAGTTATAAAAAAGCTTCATAGGGTAGGAAAATGGGTAAATGATTGACATTGCTAAGGTAACCTTCTTATTATATAATATATTTTTTTTATTAAAAAGTTTTGGAAATCAATCTAAAAATTAGGATTGGTTCCCAATTTTCGATTTAATTGACTGGTTATTAGTTAAATGGTTAATTTATTATAATTTGGTCCAATTCCCCGTTTTACCTGTTGAACTAGCCAGTCCGGTCCAATTTTATAAACATTGATATGACTATTGCCATCTCTAAGGTAAACTTTTTATTATATAACAATTTTTTTTTTATTAAAAAGTTTAGGAAACCGATCTATAAATTTGGATCTGTTCCTCGTTTATGGTTTGGTTGACCGATTTTTCTAATCTTCGATTGGTTATTAATAAAATTGATAATTTATTATAATCGGAACAGATTTTGGTCCGATTCCCAATTTTACCGATTGAATCGGCAAGTTCGATTGATTTCATAAAGATTGATTATGACTATCCCATCGGTAAGTAACATTTCAAATCAAATCAGAAAAAAAGGAAAATAGAGAAATATCAGATAATGTTTAAGATTAACTTTCTAGCAGTTGAGAAAGGATCTAGAATTTGTCGAGAAGAATGACATGAGCCATCGAATACATTTGTTTCCCATTTTTGTAAAAATGAGAATGAAAAATATAGTCGTTATGGACCTCACACAAGAGATAGAAATTCAAATTTGGTGGTTTGTTGTGATGGATAACGGTCATATTTTTCATTTTAATGAGAAAAGAATGAAAAATAAACTAGGGCTTAATATCGCCAAACGGACTATGATTACAATCTATTTTTATTTTGAGTGGGAATTATCAATTATACCAAATAAATTCGTGGTGTCTTTGTGGTCAAACATCCAAAAGAATAGTAACCCAAGCTAATAGTTTTTAGGGAAAGAAACAAAGTATTACCTTTTATGTTTGATTCAATGAGAACAAAATTTCACCCAAAAAAGCTTACATTTTTTCTAAAAAAAAAAAATCATTTTTGCCAAAAACAAATATATAGCGAATAATTCTATTTGTATATAATTATTTATAGATTAATGTACACGAAAACAGGGAGAGAGAGATTTGGCCCCTGTTAATTTTGATTATAATGGAGGGAATAATGTTTTTTTTTTTTAATTAATGATTGTAAAAGAATGAAAATTTTTCAATTTACGTGTAATATTAATTTATTGAAAATTGTATAGTTGAAAATAGGAGAAAGAAAATTTTAATTTAATTTAATTTGATGAGATTTAATGAGGGTCAAACGGGGGCTAAATTTTAAGCCATTACCATTAGCAGTTTAACATGGCAGTAAGAAGGGTAAATGTGTAATTTAAATAAAGAAAATCGTCAAAAATGAAAAAATACAAGGTCATGACCTTGAACAGTTACACGTCATTCCTCTCTCGCTTCTGAACTAATCTACGCGCCGACTTTAACTCCCTCTACCCCACTCCAGTCTGTAAGGTTGCACTGTCTCTTTTGTGCGCGCGCGCGTGTGTGTGTGAGAGAGAGAGAGAGAGAGAGAGTAGTGATTACGCTAAAAGACTCAAATTTCGACTTTTGGCATGTACAAGTTGAAGTTTCTTTCATACGGAACAAGACTTCATGTTTTGTGATTTTGAGAGAGAGAGAAGAAGAAGAAGTAGAAGAATGTTGAAAGGGAAGTTACTTGGCTTTAACGAAGAGATTTCTTATTGGATTACTTTACATTGAAAGTTTCTCTCTCTGTATTCATATATGGAGATGAAGAAATGGATTTGTAAAGTCTTCTAATTGCTTGCTGCAGCTGCTGTTCGCAATTAATTCAACAAAGGTATGATACCGTATGTATTTCAAATTTTAATGAAGTAATTTTCGTTTAATGGGTTTCAGTTTGATCCGATGTATGTTTACTTACAAAATTCATTGCTAGCTTTAAGATTTGATGGAATTGTTTGATTGGATTTGCGAGAGGGAGTATTCTGGTTCTGGGCACTCCAAACAGTTTCTGAATACATTGAAGAACATAACCCAAGAAAATCTTGTCCGTTTTAAATAAGAAAAAGAAGCGAAAATCTTGTTCGTTTTAATGCAGTACTTCATACTGAACATAACCCGTGTTTACGTAAATGATGGATATCAGAACATGAATCTCTTTGAAAGTTAATAAAAACTTCTGTGGGATTTCTTATGATGTTCGACCACTTCTTTCTGCTAGAAGTTGATCATACCAATATATCATTCTTGTGCTGAAGACCTTGTGACATTACAATCAATTATATATATTATGTCAATTCAGACTTGATAGGCCCCGGAAATTTTCTGGGTTTATGAATCAGTATCAAGTCTCCTTTCATTCTGTAATTCCTCACTTTCAAGATCATGTCTATTCTATCTTCGCTATTTTACTGTTACTTCCATAAGTTGGAATAATTTTGTTATTCTATTATTAGGTTTTGGGTTATACTTGATATACATCGGGGTGTACATCAAGGTGTCCCCTTCCATGTAAGGGGGTGGACACCTTTATGTACATTTCTTGATGTACAAGTGGAATAATCCTAGTTTTTATGCGTCTCCCTCTCCCTATGTGAAGTATGATTATCTGATCTGATCCAAAAGCTGGCCTCTTTTTTACTGTCGTTCCCTTCTTTGCATCTCGTCGTTTTTCAATTGCTTTTTGCTTTTGTAATTTTCCATCTAATGGTTTGACCTACACAATATACATAAGTGTCTTATAGTTCTGTTTCTGAATATAACTTCATCTCTTATCATTATCATTATGTACTTGTTTGGTAAGGATTTTAATAATTAATTTTTTGATCATTAGAGATAAAGTGGGCTCTACCTACGATAGAAAAATTCAAAAATGACGGCTGAACTAGTGCAATAACGATAAAAAAAATTGACTTAAATTGGCTTAAAATCCATACCAAACAAGCACTATATTCACACATTAACTTGCTATTTTTTACTGTATTCATTGTTATCCCTTGCACTTGTCTTATTAATATCAAAATAGTTTTTAATGGAAACTTTCATATTCAACATTGATGTTTCATGGCTTTTACCAGATTTTGGCTGTTTGAGCAATACTACGGCGTCGTTGCAGTCAAATAACGGGGCGAGAATGACAACTCAAATAAGCGCAAAATTTCGACTGGTTAGATGTCCTAGATGCCGACATCTTCTGACTGAGTTGCCTGAGCTTCCTTTATACGAGTGTGGAGGATGTGGCACAATTCTAGAATGTAGTGACCTTTTCCCAAGTTAATAGTACACTTACCTGTCTTGACTTCGATTTGTCGTTCATCTTCTTGTTTGTGTTATGACATATTGTGAGATAATGAATTTGTTTGAAGATTTTCTAAAATATGATCGAGACACTTCACATATGCAGAAGTTCATTTTTTTCCTTATAATTTACCCTTTTGAATTCAGCTAAACCTCGGAGAAACGACACCAACTACGATGGAGTACACTTGCAAGAAATAGAGCGAGTTTCGGAAAGTGAGCCGGATTGTATTTTGGAGAATGAAGCGAGCAGCTCAAATCTAGATTTTACCCCATTGGGTGGAAAATCTTCGCGAGATGGAGAAAAACCAAGAGATCAAGGTGAATCTGGGGACAACGATGGGGAGAAATGTGAAGATACGAGTGTCTCTAATGATTTTTCTAGCTTGCCTCAGGTTAACGGTTATGAGAATAAAGATTTATCCAAAGTGGACATTGGACAGTTGAAGCAGGATAAAGAAGGAAAATGTCAATTAGCCCAAAATGCCGAAACATGTGAAAGAGAATTTCAGGATTGCAATGGGAAAACGATTGCGGAAAGAAACTCTTCTGCTGAATTGCCTAGTTCAAGTGAATGTACCAGTCGTGAGGCAGAAGTTTCAATCCCAGAAATTAGAGAACATGTGGAATCAGATGACAAGAATCAATCAGAGCAATGCTCCGGAAGGGATCAAAAGAAATATGGAGATTCTCAAACAGAATGCTTTGGAAGTGACAACTCTCTTAACCAATTCGGCTCTTCACCCGAGCATGATCATCATCAGAATAGGATGCCTCCAGATGGTGAACACAATGAAAGAGAAGAAAGTACACATCTTTCATCGGAAATTAGTGAGAAGAGTCTAAATGGTTTTATGGACTACAATGGGGAGAAATGTGAAGATAGGAGTTTCTCTGATGAGCTTCCTAGCGCATGTGAGGTTAACGATTGTGAGAATAAAGTTTTATCCGCGGAAGTCATGGAACAATTGAAACAGGATGAAGAAGGTAAATGTCCTTTCAGCCAAAACGCCAAAAGTTGTGAAAGTGGAATTCCAGACTGGAATGGGGAAAGTGTTGCAGGCAGAAACTCCTATATAGAATTTCCTAGCTCAAGAGAATTTACTAGTCAGGAGGCCAAAATTTCAATCCCAGAAATCAGAGAACGTGTGGAATCAGATGACAAGAATCCATCAGAGCAATGTTCCAGAAGGGATCAAAAGGAATATGACGATTCTCAAACAGATTGGTGTGGAAGTGACAACTCTCTTAACCAAGTCGGCTCTTCACCTGAGCATGATCATCATCAGAATAGGTTGCCTCCAGATGGTGAACACGGTGAAGGGGAAGAAAGCACACATCTTTCACCAGAAAATAATGAGAAGAGTCTAAATGGTTTTATGGACTACAATGGGGAGCAATGTGAAGATAGGAGTTCCTCTGATGAGCTTTCTAGCATATGTGAGGTAAGCGATTGTGAGAATAAAGTTTTATCAGCAGAAGTCACAGAACGGTTGAAACAGGATGAAGAAGGTAAATGTCCTTTCAGCCAAAATGCCAAAAGATGTGAAAGTGGAATTCCAGACTGGAATGGGGAAAGTGTTGCAGGCAGAATCTCCTCAGAATTTCCTAGTTCAAGAGAATTTACTAGTCAGGAGGCCGAAATTTCAATCCCAGAAATCAGAGAACATGTGGAATCAGATGACAAGAATCCATCAGAGCAATGCTCCGGAAGGGATCAAAAGGAATATGACGATTCTCGAATAATATTGTGTGGAAGTGACAACTCTCTTAACCAAGTCGGCTCTTCACCAGAGCATGATCATCATCAGAATAGGTTGCCTCCTGATGGTGAACGCAGCGAAGGGGAAGAAAGCACACATCTTTCACCAGAAAATAATGACAAGAGTCTAAATTGTTTAATGGACTACAATGGGAAGCAATGTGAAGACAGGAGTTTCTCTGACGATCTTTCAAGCATATGTGAGGTTAGCGGTTGTGAGAATAACGTTTTGCCGTCAGAAGTCATAGAACAGTTGAAACAGGATGAAGACAAATGTCCTTCTGGGCAAAATGCCAAAAGATGTGAAAGTGGAATTCAGCATTGGAATGAGGAAAGATTTACAAGCAGAAATCCCTCTGCTGAATTTCCTAGTTCAAGTGAATTTACTGGTGAGGTCGATGTTTCAACCCCAGTAATCAGAAAACATGTGAAGTCAGGTGAAAAGAATCCATCGGAGCAATGTACTGGAAGGGATCAAAGGGAATGTGAAGATTCTCGAACAGAATCATGTGCAGATGACAACTTACTTGGCGAAGTTCAGCCTTTACCTGAGTATGATCAACGGAAGAATAAGTTGCCTCCAGATGATAGAGAACATAAAGAAGGGGACGAAAGTACTTATCTTTCGCCAGAAAATTATGACAAGAGTCCGGATGGAGGGCTTCTTGAAGAATTGGATAATAATAGGCAAGATTCTTCATCCTTTGAGATTGCTCTGCGTGCAAATGGAAAATCATCGCTGTCAGCTGGAGGCAATACTGAAGTAAAAAAGGATATCAAGAATCTGCCTCGCTTCAGAAGCTCAAGCACAGAAAAATATTTGAATGCAGATTCAGGAGATTCTTTAGTCACCGCTCAAGACCCCACCAATGAGAACAAGACATCTGTCAATCGCTTGTCTCCCAATACTGAGCAACTTGAGCATTCTCATAGAGAAGACACACGAAGTTTTGGTAGAGTGAGCCCTGTAGATACACTGGATAGTGTACGCTCCGTCAACTCTTGCTCTAAGCATGGTCTCAAACATGTAGATATGTCTAAATATCCAGCTACCAAAAGTTACTATGATTATGACGCTAGCATATCTTCTTATGATGGAACCATTGATCAAGTCCCCAACCATGTTCCACACCCTCACAGAAGAAAGTTCAAGGAGAAAATCTCCACCAGCACTGCCGAATTGCACAAAGAGGATGGATTAAATACGACTAACACGAGGAGTAGTGAGTCAGAGATGCAATATTGGGCAGCCAGTTCCTCGTCCGTCTTGCAAGGAAAGCAATATCATGCCATGGAAGGCAGCAGCAGTTGGCACCAAGTTGAATTGCCTAAAACCAGAAGATATGGCCGCAAGAGCGGTAATAGATTGGCATTCCCTTCAAGAGATTTCCAAGCTGATCACAGAAATGGAAGCCTGTCAAGTTATCAGCAAAGTTTGCTCCAAAACCGTCGAGCTTACTATTCATCAGATAGGCCTACGTACTCTGAAACAGACAAAATGGACTTGCTGAGAACCGTGTGTGAACTGAAAGATCAGCTCAACAGGATGCAATTTTCAAAACCATCGGCAAATGGAAGGTTTCCTGCTGGTTTTCTGGAGGAAAAGTTAACTCCCTTGTATTATGATCACTTAGCACCAGAAAGGGAGATGTATGCAGATTTCAGCCATCCCACATATCCTGTCAGACACAATCAGTTGAAAGGTTGGCCCCAACGACGCAAGGACTCCAGAATTGCATTTTCAGGGGAGGCTGCCCACTACAGACACCAGGTTGACTGCTCATGTTTGCATTGTTGTCCCCAAGACTGGCACCGTTCTGCTCAGTTGCCTTCACATTCCATGCTCTGCAACAATGGTCACTGCGGGGTCCACACTGGTCATAATTGCTGTAATGTCCTTCCCTCTAGTTCCTCCAGTCCCCAGCATTACACGAGCTCTGAGCAATCTTCAGGGGGAAGTGAGACTGTGTCTGGAAACCAGAAGCATAAAGACAAGGAAATGAAAAGGTTATATTTAAGGGATAAGTATCACATAACGAAGCGGCTTCTCCTGCCCATTGCTGGTGGAACCCCACTTATTTCTTGTTACCATTGCTCAGAACTATTGCAGCTGCCTTCAGAGTTTCTCCGCTTCAAGAAAAAATATCATCAGCTGAGGTGTGACGCATGTGGGAAGGTTCTGAAATTCTCACTCCTGGAAAGAATGCACATAGTTCCATATCTTCCGGAAGCTTCAGCTCCGCCGCCCAGTGAGGCTGATGATCATAGTGATGCTATCAGTCAAAGAAATCGGTTGCCTACATCTCATGCTAATTCTCGCTCGCATGCTGAAACCGGGTCATGTTCAGATGACTATGGGATGTCTTTCTGTCGAAGCTGCTCAACAGAAGGGGAGGCTTCATTTCTTAGACATTCAGCCGACTGCCTTGAGTGGAATGCTTACAATAGAAAGATGTCGTCTAACAGTTCTTATCAGCCCATGGAAGATAGAAAAATGAAGTCTGTATTGAAGGGGAATGGGAACGGGAGTTTGGTGGAAACCTCTAAACCAGCCGTAGCTTCATCGGAGAAGGCTAAGTGGAAAAAAGTGTCATCTGAGATTGAAGAGCTGCCAGAACCATCAAATTCTCGACTTCATAGGTTAATGGGATATTCTTCCCCAAGTCAAGTGTTAGACAGGTGAGGTTAAATTGAAAATCAAATGTGGAGGTTTCAAGTGTTCAACGTGCATTTGAAAAGGAGTTTCCCGGATTATTTTTAGTAACACGACTTTTTTTTAAAGCAGAATTCCTTTATATACAAAGGTTTTCTGAAATGAACTTACTGTACGAAGTTCATCAACCGTGCTTGGATTTTCCAGGATCTCAGAACAATGATCCATACAAGTTGCATATTCAACTGTAAGTTCGTCATGGATGCATTTTCAAGACACTTCACATTTTCTTCTTCTTCTCTCGTGTTGTACAGATGAAATACAACCAATATGAACCATAGTATAGCATAAAGTCAGGTTTATTTTTTTCATATAGATATGATCAATATAAAAAAGTCCTGTATTGTTTATTTCCTGCGTTGTAATAAAATAGATTTACAGATAATGCAATGATAATTTTCTTAAACCATGGAGTGCCACATTCTTCACATCCCAGCTAAATGTTAGATACAGAATCTTCCCAAGAAGCCTTGTTTGGTGCATATTTCACATATACCTTTATAAGAAGTTTTGTGCAATTTGACCTTGTGTGTGTTTGTTCAGGACTGCGGGGCTGGGGATTCTGAGATACAAGTTTTAAAATTTAGCATTTGCAGAAAGTTTCAGAATGTCTGTTGATTCTAAAATGATATATTTGCATGAAATTAGTGAATATGAAGTCCTTAGTCTATAGTTCATAAGATTTGGAATCATCTTCACTGGAGATTCGTAGAGTTATGCATGTTTTTTTAAAGTGCTCTAAATTAATTTGTGAGCTGAGTACGTGCTAATGAATGAATTAGATTTGTCATCTTTAGACATATTAGGTAGTTCTCAAAAGTTTGATATATTTGCCAGTTCATTTTCAATATGAATAGTGTACTCAATGGTGAAACTTTCCGAAATTGCAATACTAGAAAATTGTATTGTTAACATAGATGCACCACCAATATCCCCGATCAATGTCTTGTCTTCAATATAATTTTCTTGAATATCTTGATAGACCTCTAGCTCAAAAATAGGCGGGCCATCATAATCCCCACCTAAATAAATATCTCAAACATCTGGATTGACGGGAGCAAAAATATTATCATCGACCGAGAGCAAAAATATTATCATCGACATTGGAGACCCCATCCATTTACTCTGCCACTATCAAACCATCGTAATAAAAAATCATCAATAATATGTAACTTCAACACATTCACTGGTCGAAGCAATTTTTCCTCTATCAGTTGTTCTAATACATCACTTTAAGAAAGACTTGTGCTAGCTCATTGTGTCGCATGACTCTCACTATCTAGGTTTCAGAAACACAAAACAATCAAGAACTATATTGCTCTATGATACCAAACTGATGCCACAAATTAATACAAAATATGATTAACACTTCAAATACTCGTTGTTCAATTGAATATCCAGGATTTTGACCATATAATATTCATTGATTCACTAATAAAACTAATGATACTAAATAATTTGAAAATTAGAGAAAGTCTTAAATTTCATTAACAACCAACTTATATGGAATCATATATTTAGCTTTTAAAGGAAAATAAGAAGTCCTAAATTACTGTTCTAAAAGAAAAAGACAAACTCTTGAAGTTAATCTAAAATATCTCCAAATAATTAAAGCAGGAAATTTAAATAATAAAAAATAAAATAATGCCGAATAAGAAATTTTCGATTTGGCAACTTAAACAATAGATTTTGTTCAGGGAAAATTACATCCCACCAGTGTTTTAAAGATCACTATTCTTAAATCAGGTAAGTTTAATTAAGCGCAAATCAGGTAATTAATAAATAATAACAATATTAAAAAAGTAAATAAACACATCCCCATCCTCCTACCCAATAAATCAATTTTCATTCCATAGTTTACACTCAGGTGTCTCTCTCTACAACCACTCCAACGACTCTTGATGTACACCCACTCCGACGATCTGGTGTTCGGTGACGGCAGCTGCCCACTAGTAGATTTGTTATTTTCTTCTCTCTCTCTCTCTCTTAATTTCTGAGTTTGATTTATCCAATGGATATGGTGGCTTGTGTGGCGATGGTTGCTGTGGTGATTTTTATACGGTTGTTGTGGTGTGTGAGGTTGTTGTGATGGTGGTTTGTGGTTGATGTGGGTGTGGTAGTAGTTTTAGAATTGTCGGCTAGCAACTGTGAACGTGTGGTGGTGGTAAAGTGCTGGCGATGGTGGTGAGTTGATGTTGGTGTGGTAGTGACTGTGGCGGTGGTGGTGGTGGTGGTGATGGTGATGGTGATGGTGATGGCGACGGTGACTGTAGTGGAGTGGGAAGGAAGAGTGTGGTCTAGGGTGTTGTGACCATTGGTTATTTGATTTTTTGGGTTTTGGATCTGGCGGGTGGAGGTGGCGGCTATGATTGTGGTGGTGTAGTGGATCAATCTGTACTTTGGGGGTTTTCTGAGTTTTGGATCTGATCAATTTGTATTTTGGGTTTTTTTTTTTTTTTTGTTTTTGGATCTGGTAGCGATGGTGGATCTGGTGACGATTTTTGTTGGAGGTACAGGTGGAGGTGTTGACAGTGACGGCGACAGATGGTCATGGTGGTGGTGTGATGGTGGTGGTGTTGTGGTATTGGCGAGGGTGATCGCAAGCGGTGGTGAAGCAATTATTTGGTTATATGTGACCAATTGTTAAATTGTGACATTAAGAATTGATAACTTGTGACTGAAATACAATTTGTAACCAACTATTTAGGCATCCGTGACCAATTATTTGGCTGATTTGTGATTAAATATTACATGTCTGTGACTAAAAAATAAATTGTGACAAATAAACTCTGACTTATATGACCCATAGATAAAATATGACTTGTAATTTGAATAATTTGTGACCTCGAAATAATATGTGACCTACAAAATTTTTTATTTGTGACCACGAAATAATCTGTGATCAATTAGTTTGACGATATGTGACCAGTAAGTAATTTTGTGACCTATAATTTGAATTTATGACCATTAATCATGTAACTATGACTTTATTACTTTTATTTAATAAATATTTTTAATTAATTAAATACATACCTGATTTTTGAATTTTCAAACTATTTACTTGATTTTTAAATTGGGGTAAACATTAGACCTGAAATGTGATTTTTTCCCTTTTGTTCAAATAAATTGATGGGTTTATGGGCCTTGGTTCATGAGTTCATCATAGGCCATAATGGCTCCTTTCTGCCCAAAAAAAATTATATTATTTATCCAATCCCAATATGGTGACTAGATCAAAATATACAATTGCATAAAAAAATGTGGAAAGTACGTGCAACCTACTTTAAAAATAACATTTCAAATATCAGAATTATAGTTTATATATATATAAATCAGATGATAATACAATATTTTAATATTATATATAATATTATAAAATTCAATTAATTATATACCCAAACCCCAAACACTAAGAGTCACTCCCTTCCTTCTCCTCAATCCATTCTCTCTCTACTCTACTCCACATCTTCCTCTGTCCACCTCACGATGCCGCCAAAGGCCTAGATGCGAGAGCAGCACTGTATGAGGCCATGCACCGTCATCGGTGAGGCTTCTCTGCTTCAGCGCCACCCACAGTGGCGATGATGTCGCTACTTAGAGAAGTCGCACGCCAAGGTGCCTCGTGCAATGAATGGTGGTGGTGACGTGGGCCGCATAGTATACTTCGGGACAAAGTTGAAATTTTCTCGAGAGAATCCTATTTTAACTCAATTTCTTATTTTTGGCATGTTTATTATTTTAGAACTCTTAAATCCTATTTGGACTCAATTTCTTATTTTTGACAAGTTTATTATTTTAGGAATCTTAAATCAGGTTTTTTCCATATTTCTAGATTTTAGTATAATTAGGAAATTTATTTCATTAGTGCATCCTAAGGCTTTGATATTTTGAGAATTAATTCGAGAGGTTTTTTTGCTTCCAATATTTGTTCTTGTGTGGAACAATCGAACTTATCAAGAATTCGCGATCTTGTGGCGTTCAAAACTCGGGTAAGATTCAGTTAATTGTGTAATCAAAAAGTCCTTCGTGTCTTTGTTACCTTGGAGTTATTTGATTCATTAATTGGTTGGGTTAAATCTAAATCCGAATTAAATTTATAAGTTTCGTGATCAAAAGGTCAATAGTTTAATATACTATTCGTTGTTTGGTTCGCAAATTTGTGAATTGAATCCTAAACTTTGATTTTTGGCTTTCTTGGGGTATATGTCATTTTTTTGTGGGTTTAATAGCGATGTAACTATTCAGTTTCACATCAGGTGGTATCAGAATTCAGGCACCAGAATCAAAGTCATATTCCTTTGTTTTTTTTCTTATTTTGGAGTCTTTGTTTTGTTCTTCGTGTTTCCCATTAATTTTGAGTCCTAGATCTTTTTGTTTTTGATAGTTTATTTGTTTTGTATTTTTGCCAAAAAAAAAAAAGTTCACGCACTGTTCCGTACCGCAACTACTGTTCAAGAGTTTTAAAAAAAAAAGTTTGGAGTCCCTCCAAAAATTCTATTTAATACTTTAGTCATTTTTCTTCCTAATCTTGAATCTGCATAATTCAATTGGAATTCCACAAGAATCATTCAGGTTGAGTTCAAAAATTGTTCTTTGGACATTGATTGGAAGCTTGAGTGGTAAAAGGCTGAGTGGTGAGTTCAATTGAGGGTAAAAGCCTAATATTGAGTGATTCCCAAGTGAACTTTGGTGAGGCAGAAAATTGTGAGCAATGTCTGACAAGGAAGGATCAAATTCTAGCCGAAACGATAATCAAATCAACTTGCATGATGACTTCGTGCAGCGGTTTGAGCGGATGATGATAAATATGAAAAATAGGTTGGACAGGCTTGATGTGACAGTTACAAACCTTAGCCGGGGTCAACGGGTAAGCATACCACATGCTAGGAGACCGGCTAGATGAGAGCCTAGGGTAGATATGCAAAATGAATATGGGTATGACAGTGAATGGGATGGTGATGAATTTGAAGAAGTAGAGATGGGACAGATGAGAAATAGAGCTGGTAGGTTTGAACGAAGAGTTAGAAACTATGGGAGAGACAACGGTGATGGAGGTATGGTTAGCATTAAAATGTCAATTCTAACATTTCGGGGTGGGAGTGACCCAGAGGCATTTCTTGAGTGGGAGAAAAACGTGGAGTTGATATTTGAGTGCCACAACTACTCAGAGGAGAAGAAAGTGAAGCTTGCAGTCTTGGAGTTAACTGATTACGCCATCACTTGGTGGGATCAAGTGGTCACTTCACAGCGCGGGCATAGGGAGAGGCCGATAACTACTTGGGATGAGTTGAAAGCAGTGATGAGAAAACGGTTTGTGCTTGACCACTATTATAGGGAACTTCATCAAAGGTTGCAGGGGTTGTACCAATGGTCAAAGAGTGTGGAGGATTACCATAAAGAGATGAAAAT